TTCCTGCTTAGCACAAGTTAACTCCCAAAGGGTGGTATAGGTATAATAGAGTGGCACTGAGCGCACACCCAAAAGTGTTCTGAGGCTTTCTGTTCCAGCCTGGGTATCACAGCATGCACTCATTTATAAGATTTGGCATGCGCTGAATTGAAGCTAGTGGGTAGGATGTGCTCTACAGTCATGCTGGCAGGTACGGCACAGAGGCAGAGTATCAAAGCTCTTAAAATCATGAGTTTCTTTTTTTAAAGCTCTTTGAGAACCTGAGAATTAAAGGTGTGCTACAGAAGTGCAATAAACTGAGGCCCAGATTCTAAATTATTTACTGTATGATTAAGTGAGTAGCCTTATTGAAGTAAATGGATCTGTTAATATGCTAAATTTAAACCCATATGTAAATATCTGCAGGATCAGGACACTTGATGTAGTGCACAATCAGTAGAACAGGCAGGGAACAAGAAAGTAATGGAATTAAGCATTGATCCTATGCCATTATTTTTTGTCATGTTGTAGAAGGAGTTCATGTCTGAGTATCATTTAGTGAAGCTGGGTTGTTGTTGAATAATTTGCTTCTTGACTCCAGTTGAGTCTTCAGCCTAAAACCTAGAGTCAACGGTTTCATCCTTATACAAGAATAAGCTAAAATGATGACATGAAATTTAAGTCATTTTGGAGTGTATGGAAGGAAACAATTTTACTAATAATTGCCGTCTTTTATTCTAAGCATGGACTTGTTTGTTGTCAAGTATGTTTAGCAAGACCGCATGAAGTATATTTAACAGGTATGTGGTTGCTCGTATATAAAGCTCACTGTCAGAGCTGGCCTTAGGAGTGGGCAGCGTGCATGACTGCCCAGGGTGCCATGGTCAGGGGGGTGCCAAACACCCTGCCCAGCCTGCCCCATCTTGGCCGATTCCTGCCCCAGGGAGGAGGAGCACTGGGTTCCCTCGTGCAGGGGGTTCCCTCATGCACCACCAGTTCAGCCATGCAGGGCAATGCCCCCGGACCCCCATTGCCCCGCAGGGAGGTGTGGGCAGAGGGAGGTGGAGGGTGGGCTGGGCCAGCCTCACTGCCTCCTGAGTGACTTTCAACTTTCCACTTCTCTCCAGGGGCAGCGTGGGACAGGGGCAGTGCCATCTTCCCATGGCTTGGGAGCTGGCATCCCTGAAGCTCTGGTGTCCCTGAGGCCACTGCTCTGTCGGAACTGGGCCTGGTAATGTGATTGGGGTGGCACCTTGTCCTGTCCTGCCCACCTGCCTCTGCCTGCAACAGTATTACTGAGATGCAGGTGGGGGGCTCCAAAATACAAGTTGGTCCAAGGCAGTATTTTCCCTAAGGCCAGCTCTGCTCACTGTTGTTAAAAAGTTGAACACCATATTGCCACTTGAGAAGCATACAGAATTATCTGTCTTACAGGTTCAAATATTGGAAAATGGAGGAATTAGAGACCTATTCATAATTATGTTTACAGGAAGACCTCGCCTTTTGCTGTTTCTTATTTCATTGGCTGTGTGTAGGAGTGCAGGCCAATGGACATGGCACTGAGCTGGAGACGCGCTTTGCTAGGTTATTCAGGTTGTTCCACCAACCTGCTATGTGACCTCGGGCAGGTTACTGCATCTTTTGGAGCTTCAGAATCCCCCATCTGAAAAACAGGGAAATTAATTCTTCGCCCTGCTTTGGAAAGCGCCCTAGAACAGTAGACAAAGGTGTTAAATGATATTATAAATAAACTAAGCTCAAACTGTGAATAACCACTCCTGAATCTGACGCTACATCTTGTAGTAGAAATGGATTTCAGCATTCTTTCCACCTGGTCCTGTCTCTGTGTCAGCATTCACCTCAGTTACACATGGCAGCCCAGATCCTGTTCAACTTCCAAGATGTGTGTGTGCAATTACACGTCTTTTAGGCATTTCAGTCATTAAGCACAGTCTTATTTCACCCAATGTAGCAACAACAAAAGTACTAAGAAGCCTAGAGTATTTATGGGTGCCTGTAGACATGCTGGCAGGCTGCTCCAACACGCTATAATTACAGTGCAGCAGAGAAGACTTGATTAATCAAGTCTGCTGGAGAGTGCTCCAGCAGTCTCCCACATCTCGTGTATCAGCATCCCCATGTTTCAAAATGGTGGCAGGGGTGCTTAAACTAAGGTTGCAGACAGAAGTGACAATTTTTGTCTGATCTGGCCACAGAAAGCAGTTTATAGCTGTGACCAAACACAAATACAGGCTGCAGACAGCTTCAAAAATGGCTGATTGGGTGAAAATCTGACCCCTCATTGTATGAGGTATCAGATAAAGACTTTTCAAAATGTATTGTTTCCTGTAACTTGTGTCTGCGAAGCTCCCAGCCTGTCACCGTTTTCAGAATGGAACTGGGGAAAGGGAGCGGAGGGAGTTCAGTCTGGGGGATTTTCAGCCCCGCAGAGGATAGGGCAGGTACATTGGAGCCCCCCCACCCCCCAAGGTTGGGGAGCTCCAATTCATCCACCCCATCCTTCCACACCAGCTGCAAGAACGAGCTTCCTCCACTGCCTCCCCCCCACTTCCATTATGAAAACGGAGCACTGGCAGACAGCCTGGCCATTGCTATGGGAATCTGGCTGCAGGCTTTTAGCCTGCAGCTAGATTTCTCCCCCCTCCCCCTCCCCCCCGGAACCAACAATGAACTCTTCTTTGGTCTAGGGTAACATAATGCCTGTCAGAAAACGCTCTGAGTTACAGCTGGGAGCTGCACTTCTGACTGCACCCTAAAGCTCATCAAACGAGGTTTAGCTCAAGCACCCCCACCACCATTTTGAAGTGTGGGGGCATTAATACATGACATGCTGCAGCACGTCTAATTAGAATGGCTCTTAGAACCACTCCAGTTAAAGCACTTCCTCATTGCCCCTGGAGCATGTGTAAAGGTGCCTTATGTTTCTCCGTTTTGACTTCAAAAGATCCCTAGACACTTAGACTTTCACTACTGCAATCTACTGCTTAGAACTTGAACTCTACTTAAGCTCCGCTCTCATCCAAATAAGAACCCAGTTTTTCAGAAAGATTTTTAAAAAACCTCACTGAGCAACTGTTTATAATTACACATGCAGCTCAGTGAAGAAAGAGGGAAACACTTTTTGCTCAATTACCACGTGGTAAGCACAGGAAGTGGGAAACCTGTGGTCTACCCTCCCCCCACCCCCCCCAGTTTATGGATTTACACTCAGGTACACATATACAGACACATGTATGTGCACAGCTAGAATGCAGCCTACTGCACATACTAAGTAGATACATGGATGTTTGCACATCCTCCTGCACACCTACTTGGATTGCAAACTGCATAAGCCCCAAAAATGGCGATTTGCATCTGACTGAACAGGTTTCTGTCCCAGGTCTGTCCACTGAGTGAACAGGAGAGTTATCCTAGAATCAGCCCTGTGAGGTATAGAAAAGAATCACCCCTGTGATATAAAGTGCTAATTTTTGGGGTGATTGATTGTTAAATTTTAGGTATCTACAAGGCAGAATGGGATCTGGGCCTGGGGCTTCCTTAGGCTTGGGGTTTCCACTTATTCCCTTGGGCACAATTCAGTTCTGCAACTCTTCAGCAACTTAGTCTCTGGTAATACATGATGTGACTTCCTTGGTATTTGAGATCCTTGAATGCAATAATACATTCTGCTTCACACACACAAGTGTTCTGGGAACAAGACACTACGTAGTACCACAAGCAGATTTGAAATCTGTCTGGATCTCACCACCAGTCTCCTTTCTATGATCAAAAGCTTAAATGCACAGGTACTTACTTGTGATATTTTACCAAAATAATATTTTAAATAGCAAGAGCTGTCTTAAAACCTATTGAAGCAAGGATAGATGAGATGATTCAGG